GAGAATAAAGGGGAAAGGACAAAACACGAGTGGGAAATATCAGAAAGGGATACAGAACATGAGAGACTCCTAACTCTGGGAAACGAACTAGGGGTGGGGGAAGGGGAAGTGGGCGGGAGGGTAGGGGTGGGGGGTGACTGGGCGACGGGCACTGAGGGGGGCACTTGATGGGATGAGCACTGGGTGTTATTCTATATGTTGGCAAATTGAACACCAATAAAAAATAAATTTACAAAAAAAAAAAGAAAGAAAAAAAGAAAACTGTCCCAGAGGTAGAGGAAGCCTTGATTCACTTCCTGTCCCAGGAGACCTAATTTGGTGTCATTATGAGCTGAGGGAAATGTGGAACTTAGATGGTCACAATAGTTCCTGTGGATGGAGCACCTGTTCTGTGCCAGGGAATTTCCTGTGAGCTCTAAAATATTACCAAGTTCTCAGACCAAATTCTTAGATGGAATTTCTCCAGTTTACAAATAAGGGGACAAAGACTTGCAAGTTTTATTTCCCATCTCGAGGGAAAGGAGACACCTATAAACTTGTTTGATCACTTAAAGTCAGATCTGAGGTGGATGGGGGATTCTGGGAGAGGAAGAACACATTCAATGCTGACACTGGACCACAGCCTTACCATAAAATGTGTACAGACCAAGACAGGCACTATCAATGACTGGCAACTAGTTATAGATGCAGACTCTCTGGGTCACCTTAGACATACCAGTAGTAGCACTTCCCAAGCTATGACAGTCAAAAATTTCTCTAGATATTTCCAAGTGTTCTCTAGAGGCAAAATCATCCCCAGTTGAGAACCACTGGCCTATCTTGTTGCACTCCAGTTAAAGTACATTGGTTCATAATGACCCAATTCATAATTCTGGGTCAATCACTCAACCCTTCCAGTCTCATTTCTACAAATGTGGAATCAAGCTCATCATTTTACGGCCTTCATAGAATAGGTTTTGCAAAAAATAAATGACACTATCCATATAGTATTCTAAGCTCAGCTTGTGGTACATTAAACAGTCCAAAGAGATCTGTTAAAATTACCAACTGTTTTATAAATGAAGAACTAAATGTCAACATTTAACCCATATTAAAAACACAAAACTCCTAATTGATTTGTCAAAGGAATTAAGAATCCAAGATTGTTGTACCATGTTTTATTAGTAAAGGAACACACTTTTCTTATTGGGGACACAAGAGCAATTTTCTAGAGCTATCAGGAGTTGCTTTCCCACCACAAGTCAATGTTTTTCAGACCCAGGGACATGGTCAAGACAGGTTCCTCAGTCTTAGATTTGGAAAAGACTTTCACTAATGTTAGAGCTCTTGAAGCCAGGCTAGTTCAAGGAGGAGTAAAAAAAAACAGTGGATGCACTCGAATTCTAGCCTCGTCTCTTGGGAACAGAGAATCTACAGGAAAAAATACCATTCTGTCCAGATAATTTCCCGTGGGGAGACATGCTCAGGGGTTGGAGTAATCATGGAAAATATGTCGAATGAGCAGGAATAGGAAACAGATACAGCCAACAGAAGGAGCTGTAAATATCTGCTCTCCTACAGCCACTGGGATTGTTCAACCTTGAGCTGGAGGAGACATGGTTTTTGCATTTGGATTCCTAAGTCTGCTGAGGGACCTGAACTTTACTGCTTCCTGCTGCCCTGTCTGGGAACAGAGCTTTGTTCTTCATCATCAATCATTCAGGGAGGAATTCAGATCTCCACCTGGAGACCTTCCTTTCAGAGACTCAATCCAGGTGGGTCTCAGAACTCAACAGGTATTCAGGAAATGTTCAGGGAGAATGGAAGCTGCAAGCTTTTACCTAAGGTCACCTGACAGGCTAACCCAAGCTTAGCCTGGTGTTTGTTGGTGCAGTGAACTCATTCAATTAGTGTCAATTGCTTTAATATGTAAAAAGGAAGTACTTGTTGAACTTAGCACAAAAAAGATTTGGGATGCTCCTTGACTATGTACAATGCACTGGTGATATTTTTATTCTTCTCTATATATTCTATTCTATTTTTACAAACCACTGTCTGACCCCACAAATGGTCCCAATCTCAGAATATAGAAAACATTGCTCTCCCACCTCCTCCATTCCTGTGCTAGTAGCTCCCTGCTTCTGTTCTTTCTCTCATCACTGGCAACTTCTGTGAGGAGATTCTCTCATTTCTTCATGCAAGATGTGTTTATTCCTAATCTGTCCCTATTCTATACCTATTCCATCTAAACTAAGTCTGGGAGTAAAGGGCAGGAGTATGTATAACACGTCCAGGGCACTCAGTCTACCAGGGAAATACATGTGGATTTAAATAAAAGTTGGACGGTGATAACCCCTGCATCTAAATCATTTCAAGAGAAATTATTCTTTTTCTGTGAGAATGTTAAAAAAAAAAAACCACAAAGATTCACGAAGGAAATGACTCCTTGCAATTTGAAAGAGGAGATGGGATAGATAGAAAGGAAATGAAGAATCCCAAACAGACCAGTGGGTGACTCCAAGCAGAGGGCAGCAGGTGTATGGAGGCTCTGAGCCTGGAGACTGGACTTCAGGTGAAGCTACAACTCAAGGTCAGTGTCTGTGACATGGATGTGGATTAGGCAGCGTAAGTGGGAGGTGGTGGGTGAGTCAGGAGAGGCAAGCCAAGTGTTGGAAGTTATGGAATTGGGGTTCAGTGTCCAGTGAGGACTTACTGGGAAGGGTTTCAGGTGGGGAGTTGGATAGTAAGTTAACTGCAACATAGAAAGATCTCCCTGGGGATCCCTGGGTGGCGCAGTGGTTTGGCGCCTGCCTTTGGCCCAGGGCACGATCCTGGAGACCCAGGATCGAATCCCACGTCGGGCTCCCGGTGCATGGAGCCTGCTTCTCCCTCTGCCTATGTCTCTGCCTCTCTCTCTCTCTCTGTGTGTGTGACTATCATAAATAAAAAATTAAAAAAAAAAAAAAGAAAAAGAAAGATCTCCCTGGGCAAAGGTGAATATTGGTTAGAAGGCGCCAGCCTGTGGTAGGTGGAGAGATGACACAGGACTGAACTAAGACTGTGGAATTGGGGAAGTGATGGGGACAATGAAGAGAAGAGAAAATTCAGTCAAAATTCATCAGCAGTGATAAGCACTCAGTATCAACAGGAGGAAACTATGCCAAACTCTTTCCATAAATCTGAGGAAGATGGACTCCTCTAGTCCTACTGTTTGGTGGAGGAAAGTTAGAACAGTTTGGTTGCTCTCCAAGTTCAAATAGCAAATATGTGTATCCACAATTCAAAATCCACGTTTCTGATTATCAAGTTTTGCATTTTATATCATTTAGAAAAGTTCTTTTGGCAAATAATCTTCTAAAGTCCCCCACTTTTGTTGTACTGTGTGTATTTCCTTTTGTGAATTGTGGGTGTCTTCCCTTTGCTTATTATTTTGGTGGGATCTTCAAATGTCTTGATAATGTATCATCATCTCTACTTTTTCTTTTGGATACATTGCCTTTTGCTGATTTATTATTCTGGGCATCAAAGTGCTATAAGTGGGGCTGGAGGGTTGCCAGAATCAAGGATGCTTGCTCCTCCTCCCCATCCCTAGGGGCCACCTGAGCTTATTAGATCTTTCTCCCCACTTTTCTTCCTCAAAGTTGTTGGAACTGATTTTTTATGTTTCTTTATATATTGGACAGAAAATGATCCTATTCAAATGGAGACCCATGATTATATGCTCATAGGAGACTTAACTCCTGGGATTTGGATGTGGTTTGACATTTTTAGAGGAAAGACAATCTATGTGGACAGCTGGCCTTATATCATTGTTTGCCTAATTATTGTCACTGGAGGGGAGAATAGCCTGGTGGTGATTTTTAAAACAATTAAGGAACAAACGAAAAGCAGACTGGTGAAGAGGAGTGGGAGATACAGGCCTCCGGTTAAGGAATGAATGAGTCCCGGGAATAAAAAGCCTAGGGAATATAGTCAGTGATATCATTTAGTGTTGAGCGGTGACAGATGGCAGCCCACACATGGTGAGCACGGTGTAATGTCTACATTCATTGAATCACTGTGTTGTTCACAAAACTAACGTTATAGTATACATCACCCACACTCAGATATTATAAATTAATTTTACTTTTTATTTTTTTTATTCAACAAATAGGCAGAATTTATTTCAAATCTCCATTATGGATCATTAAGGCATTGAGGAAGAATGTTAAAGCAAGAAAAAAGAGCAACCACTCCCATTTGTTCTGTCCCAATCGATTGTTCCATTTCTTCATCTTATTTGCTATAATCTATATGTTGTTTATTCACCTGAGTTTTTGGTTCTCACCTGCATTTCCACAAGGCTGTAAACAACAGGAAGGCACAGTCCTTCACATCCCACGTCAGATGCAGGGAACAGTGCAGTACTTGGCCCATTTCACTGAATCTGTGGCAACAGAGTAATTTTAAAAAGACCAACTCTTTTCTCACAGCCTTTGCACTGGTTGTTCTCCCTGATGGGCACACCTTTCCCTGGGTAACCTTGTGTGTCCTGCTGAGGCCTCTGTATAAATGTGTGCTCCCTACTTGAGCAACCAGTAAAAAAAGGCACCTCTGGGCGCTCTTTCCTTTTTACTGACCTTTTCTTCACAGCACCTGTCGCCTTCTGATATTCTATTTGATCTTCTATCTGCTTATCTTCTGTCACTGAACTGTGCAGACATTTGTGTCCTGACCCAATCTCTCTGCCTGGAGGCTAGTCAGTACTCAAGTTCATTCCTCAGATGTGTGACAGAATTTCTCATTAAAAGTACAGAATCCATGAGTACTTGGGAAGAAGGCCAAGTGTGGGATGCACATTCCTACTTGGAGCTGGCATGGGGGAGTTGGTGCAAAGGGGACAGGTTCCATACAAAAAGTATGGAGACTGACTTTTTGAATGCAAAACGGAAATTGTAGAATTTGAATGATATTTGTAATGTTTATAATTGAGAAAATTAGCCATGTTATTTTTTGTTTTTCCTGGTAGTCACTTCTGCTACATGGAACCAGGAAATGATTCACAAATTTCAGAGTTTCTTCTTCTGGGATTATCTGAGGAACCAGAAATGCAGCCCCTCCTATTTGGGCTTTTCCTCTCCATGTACCTGATCACTATCTTTGGAAACCTGCTCATAATCCTGGCTGTCAGGTCAGACCCTCACCTCCACACCCCGATGTACTTCTTCCTTGCCAACCTGTCCTTTGTAGACATCTGTTTCACCTCCACCACCGTCCCCAAGATGCTCCTGAACATTCAGACTCAGATTAAAGTCATCACCTATGAAGGCTGCATCACTCAGATATACTTTTTCCTCCTCTTCACTGCACTGGATGACTTTCTCCTGGCTGTGATGGCCTATGACCGCCTCGTGGCCATCTGTCACCCCCTGCACTACAGGGTCATCATGAAACCTACCTGCTGTGCACTGCTGGTTCTGATGTCCTGGATGATAAGTGCTCTGAATTCCTTATTACAAAGCTTAATGGTATTGTGGCTGTCCTTCTGTTCAGAGGTGGAAATCTCCCACTTCTTTTGTGAACTCAATCAAGTGGTCCAACTTGCCTGTTCTGACACCTTTCTTAATGACCTGGTGATGTATTTTGCAGCTGTTTTGCTGGCTGGTGGTCCCCTCACTGGGATACTTTACTCTTACTCTAAGATAGTCTCCTCCATACAGAGAATCTCATCTGCTCAGGGCAAGTATAAAGCATTTTCCACCTGTGCATCTCACCTCTTGGTTGTCTCTTTATTTTATTGTACACTCATAGGAGTGTACCTTAGCTCTGCTGCTACCCAGAGCTCTCACTCAAGTGCAGTGGCCTCAGTGATATACACGGTGGTCACGCCCATGTTGAACCCCTTCATCTACAGCCTGAGGAACAAAGACATAAAGAGGGCTCTGAAAAGAATCATTGGAGTTCCAGTGATGTAAGGGCCATTGTGGGACTGAGATGAAGATGTGCCCATGATTGCAGGGCTTACAGCCTCAGAGGCTGTAACCATTTCTTTCTTTCTTTTTTTTTGTATATTTTTTTATTGGAGTTCGATTTGGCAACATATAGAATAACATCCAGTGCTCATTTGTTTCAATTCAACTTCTTTATACATTTGGGTAACTTTTTATAAATCTTCTGTTCTGTCTGATATACAGTTTCCCCTGTCCATTTTCATATCCCAATATTTTCCCCATCCTTGGTCACAAATGCCTGGAAGTTTCTGTATCTTGCATGGTGCAAGTTAGATTTCTTAAAAATAAATTCATTTCAAATGACTTATACCATGCCAAGTAAATTTCCCACTGATTTCCCAAAAGAATAAGAATGAGCTATATTCTTCATATAGAAGGAACTCCACTTGGCCAGTAAGCCCTTCACATAACTTTATTGTAGATGGAAGTACAAAACTCGTTTTCACCTTGAATCTGTCAGTCTTTTTCCATCACTACATTCACTCCTCTTCCTGATAATGTGGACTCTAACATTGTTCCTTTGTATATCAGGCTCCTGGCAAGGATGCTCATGCTAGGAAAGCTGGGGCACTCCCCTATGCCTGTGTGCTTGTGGACATTCCCACAGACACTTCCCTGACCAGAGCTTCAGCAATGGCTTCATTGTCCCTTGGGTTCTTACTGTGATTATAAGACACACTTCAGTGGCACCCATCAGAGATCTCTAACAAAACCAGGTTTATTACTTCCAGGTCCTGGGAGGCAGAGGCTGAAAGATCTGGGCTGTTAGGGGTGCAGAGTTTCAGAGGGAGAGAGAGAAAGTTCACAACTGGTGGCCCTCCTTTTATTTGGGTCCATGAGCAGAGTAGGTAGGGGTTCCCAGGTTCACTCTCTATTGACAAGGTTAAAATATAAGACTGAAATTCTAGCACAGACAGGGAGAGTAGGGTCACTCATGTTCAGTATTTAGGTTATCAGGGCTCTCTGAAAAATTATTTCACGGTTGGGGGCAGCCTGAGTGCTTATGTAGTAATAGTGTCATACACCTAATAGTATGTTTATTCAACAAGGTTATCCTTGAAATGGATGCTTCAGAACTCAAAAGCTTCATACCAGGCAATTTCTCTATAAACATGCTATTGTGTTTTAAAACTAGTCTACTTGTTTTATTCTATTATTCACCTAGGTGTCCAGAATGTCTACCATAGCCACTGGCGAATACTGATAAGCAAACAAATCTCCCAGTGTAGTCTATGTGGAAAGATAATTTTGAATTAATAGATTGACCTGATATGATCTTAGTGTCAAAGATGACCTCAAATATGAGGGTTCATTTTCTTTACGTAAATAGCCAGTAGTGGGATCTCTGGATCATAGGGTAGTTGTATTTGTAATTTTTAGGAGCCTACAAATTGCTTTCTGAGTGGCTGTATCAGTTTGCATTACCAGCAAAAGTGCTTTCTCCACATCCTCATCAATATCTGTTGTTTCTTGCATTGTAGATTTTAGTCATTCTGATAGGTATGAGGTGAGATCTCATTGTGATTTCAGTTTGAATTTCCCTGAGGATGTGTGTTTTTTGTATAGTATCTTTGAGCATTTTTTCATATGTCTGTTGGTCATCTGAATGTCTTCTTTGGAGAAAGGTCTTCATGTCTTCTGGCCATTTTTTGAATTTAATTATTATTAATTCTTTGGTGTTAACTTCTATAAGTTCCTTATGTATATTGGAAGTTAACTCCTTATTGGATATATCACTTGAAAGTATCTTCTCCCATAAGTAGGTTGTTTTTGTTTTGTTGATGGTTTCTTTTGCTGTGCAGGAACTTTTTATTTTGATGCAGCCTTTTACAATATGGATAGATCTAGATGGCATAAATACTAAGTGAAATAAATCAGAGAAAAGTTAATACCATATCATTTCACTCACATGTGAAATTTAAGGAACAAAATGAACAAACAAAAACAGAGGCAAACACAAAACCAGACTCTTCAATATGGTGAACAAAGTAGTGGGCAGAGGGCAGGTGGGTAGGGAGATGGGTGAAATAGCTGAAGGAGATTAAGAGGCTCCTGGGTGGCTTTGTTGGTTTGGTGTCTGACTCTTGATTTTGCCTCAGGTCATGATATCAGTCCTGAGATCAAGCCCCACTTTGGGCTCCTCCTAAGGGTGGAGTCAGCTTCAGAGACTCTCTTTTTCTGCTCCTCCCCATGCTCACTCTCTCTTCTTTAAAATAAATAAGTAAATAAATAAATAAATAAAATAAATAAATAAACAAACAAATAAATAAATACAGTTAATAAAAGAAGAGTACACTTGGGATGCCTAGGTGGCTCAGCGGTTAAGCGTCTGCTTTTGGCTCAGGGCGTGATCCTGGAGTCCCAGGATGGAGTCCCACATTGGTCTTCCTGCATGGAGCCTGCTTCTTCCTCTGCCTTTGTCTCTGCTTCTCTCTCTCTGTGTCTCTCATAAATAAATAAATAAATAAATAAATAAATAAATAAATAAATCTTAAAAAAAGGAGTACAGTTATTGTGATGACCAGTGAATAATGCATAGAATTGCTGAGTCACTATATTGTATACTTGAAACTAGTATAGCACAGTATATTATTTATACTGGTACTTAAAATTTTTTAAAAAAGATTTTATTTATTTATTCATGAGAGACACAGATAGAGGAGTAGATACATAGGCAGAGGGAGAAGAAGGCTCCCTGCAGGGAGCCTGATATAGGACTTGACCCCAGAACCCTGGGATCATGCCCTGAGCCAAAGCAGACACTAAACCACTGAACCACCCAGGTGTGCCAATTATACTTGTATTAAAAAAAATTAAAAAATTGTGAGGGAGCACCATTTCAAGCCACCAATTTTATTACTATTCTTTTTCATGCTGTGCATCTATTATTGAGGCATGGAAGATTGGTGTCTACAATTGAGGGGGTTTATTCTTTGAGGTGAAGGATTGCTTAGTGTCTTGTATGTTTTATCACCCAGTTACCTTCCTGTTTCTACTTGAAAATTTCTGCCGCTACCTGCTAATATGACCCTATTATTACATGAAATAGCTCCCTTTTCCTAATATTTGTGACAAATGCTAATGGATGGTGAATGAACAGTATCAGTATCACCCATTTTGTACCTCTTTTGTGCTCTGAAGGAGAATTGGATGACATTTCATTGGAGAGTTTAATGTGCTGTCATTCCTGTGGTTCAGGGTCACCAGTTTTTCTGCACAAATATGCATGCCCTTCAAACTCTCCCACTTACCTGCAAGAGAGCCCACATATAGTCATTTGTTCATAAAGTCATCAGAAAAAAACTTGAATCACAGAATGGTCATGACTGTACTTCTTAAGGTCGGATCATACATCACAAATAAAAAGCAGTGCATGTTCTAACTGCCTCATGACTGTTTGCTTGGATTATTGTGTCAGTCAGCTCTTGCTGTACAACAGGTTGTCCTTGTCAAAAGGGACATAATAATACCTTTATGATCAAATGGAATTATATGCTGGGGTGTGTTTCCAATCTCTGTTGGGTCCTCATAGATCTGGTCAGGTGTGAATGTCTACATGGTGTTTCTAAGGGTGAACCATGGTGTTGTGCGTGGCTATAGTACCCTTCTGTCTCAGCCACTTTATCAGCTTTTATTATTACATTTCCATATGTAGGATCTTATATTTATAGAAAACAATTCATTTATCATAGGAATCAGCTAAATTTAATTCCAATATTTGTAAACCGTATTAACATCTGGCTTTCTTCTCCATTAGAAGTACTATCTCCCACCCCTTCTTAAGTGAGAATGAGCTGCCTGTGCTCTGGATCCTACCTGTAGCCATGCAGCATTATATATATATATATATATATATATATATATATATATATATATATATATTTTAACTGAATAAATTATTGGAGTACAATTACACACAATAACGTGCATAAAAAGTGTACACTTACATCAGTCTCATTGTCAGTGTATAGAAATGCCACTGACTTCTGGGCATTGATTTTGTATACTGCCACACTGCCAAATTGCTGTACAAGTTCTAGCAATCTTGGGGTGGAGGCTTTTGGGTTTTCTATGTACACAGTATCATGTCATCGGCGAAGAGGGAGAGTTTGACTTCTTTGCCAATTCGAATGCCTTTAATGTCTTTTTGTTGTCTGATTGCTGAGGCTAGGACTTCTAGTACTATGTTGAATAGCAGTGGTGAGAGTGGACATCCCTGTCTTGTTCCTGATCTTAGAGGAAAGGCTCCCAGTGCTTCCCCATTGAGAATGATATTTGCTGTGGGCTTTTCGTAGATGGCTTTTAAGATGTTGAGGAATGTTAAGGAGTCAATCCCATTTACAATTGCACCCAAAAGCATAAGATACCTAGGAGTAAACCAAACCAAAGAGGTAAAGGATTTATAACCTAAAAACTATAGAACACTTCTGAAAGGAATTGAGGAAGACACAAAGAGATGGAAAAATATTCCATGCTCATGGATTGGCAGAATTAATATTGTGAAAATGTCAATGTTACCCAGGGCAATTTACACGTTTAATGCAATCCCTATCAAAATACCATGGACTTTCTTTAGAGAGAACAAATTATTTTAAGATTTGTGTGGAATCAGAAAAGACCCTGAATAGCCAGGGGAATTTTAAAAAAGAGAACCATAGCAGGGGGCATCACAATGCCAGATTTCAGGTCGTACTACAAAGCTGTGGTCATCAAGACAGTGTGGTCCTGGCACAAAAACAGACACATAGATCAATGGAAAAGAATAGAAAACCCAGAAGTGGACCCTCAACTTTATGGTCAACTAATATTTGATAAAGGAGGAAAGACTATCCACTGGAAGAAAGACAGTCTCTTCAGTAAATGGTGCTAGGAGAATTGGACATTGACATGCAGAAGAATGAAACTAGACCACTCTCTTGCACCGTACACAAAGATAAACTCAAAATGGATGAAAGATCTAAATG